GAGCAACTTCAGTAGTTTGGATGCATCCGTCACCGGTGCTCTACCACCCGAAGGATGCATCCATAAGTTTCAGATGCATCCAACGTTGACGCGCGCATGAACGGTCAGCACACACGGATGCATCCGAAGGAGATGTCAGATGCACCCGAAGTTCCGGTAAATGCCGTACATGATACGATTTCAGTACGATTTCAGTACGAATACAGACGCAGTATCAATGACGCAGTATCAAAAACGTAAGGAAGGAGATGGAGGGAACAAATGACCGGAATCGCAGGACATATCAGGCAATGCACAAGGGCGTAGCACAGGGCGTAACGACATTGTATCGCATACAAAGAGTAGATCAGAAAGGAAAGATAGCAAAGTCAGCGCTATATCCAAAGATTCGAAGACATAGACCCACGAACCGTTTGCGATGAAGCATTTTACATGCAGTAGATTGGCACCATGCGTATCTATCTCATGTTCCTGTGATCAGCGTGAATGCGAGAACATCAGTCAAGGCGGAAGAGAACAGGATGCGTAAGGATGGACGGATGCATCCGTTGGAGTTTAGACGCATCCTACTCCCCTGGGATGCATCCGAGAGCCGTATGAGATGCATCCGAGTTTGGACGCATCCGAGTTTGAACGCATCCTACTCTCGTGGGATGCATCCGAGAGCCGTGGACGCATCCGGACGGTACCATCCGTCAAGGCGCTTGTCGTAAACTGTCAACAGCGCGGTGTCATCTGACACCCACTTGTTCCCCTGATGAACCCAATGAAACGAAATGGGTCAGTGGCGTCCAGACGACCGTTCGAGGCCAAATTAACACTACGTACATCGGATGAAGTGGTCGCCCTCCAGTGCCGCGTTCTTGCGACGCTAAGGAAGGTTCGCGCGACTCCTCCGTGACGAATATATTGATCCTTCTCTTGGTGCCTCGAACGCGCGCTGAGCAAAGCCTTCATTGACATCTCTACAGCCAGCAGGCGAATAAGACAAATAGTTGGTGGACTTCTAACGAGATACTATTTGGGCCCTGACACGAGGATTCATTCACCGTTCGGCATACACGTTCTACCCATACACAAAACTGCGGGCATGTTCAGCACGAAACCGGCCCAAGTGTATGAGGAAAAGCAAACCTTTATCTGTTGTCGCCGCGGTCTACGCCCTTCCCTTTCTCCTGCCAGGAGAAGCCGCCATCTCGCTGCAACGCATTCGCCATCACGTCCGATCCCGTCTGATCGCATTCCATCCGCTCGAAGAACTTGAGAAATCCTTGGCAGTAACCGACGTCCGGCAGACGGAGGAGCAGAAGTTTGTCGTCCTGTCCGTGTACGTGGATCGGGGTCGTCACCGACTGCTCGACCCAGGTATAGATGTCCGGCTTCCATACCTCGACGCTGGTAACGTCGAAGTGTCGCAAGACCAAGCCAAGATTAGAACGGAGCTCTAAGACGACGTCATCCTCGGTGTAGGGGATAGACAAAAAATGAATCTTCGGCTGGCTAAACGACTGCACGAGTGTCAAATGACACATGAGTTTCTGGTCGCGCGGAATAAGCAGGAAGAAGTACGCACGTCCACCCAAAGCACCGTCTCAAGATACCAAGCAACGCTCAGGTCGGGGTCGAAGCAGAAGATGTCTACGCCCTTCGCGGGTCGTTCCCAAATCATAGCGGCCAGGTACCAGGGCTCGTCATTAGCCTCCGGCGCCGCAACCTCACCATCGTCGTCAGATTCGAGATGGTTAGCTTCCGCATTGGACTCCTCTATGTCGACGTCACCGTCCGAATCTTCCTCGCTCCCGTCGTCCGCTACCTTGGCTTCGTTGCCTGCTCGATTCTCTAAAGCGTTCGAACTACTTGCGCCTGCGTTCCTGCCCAGGTGATGTCAGTGTCGGCACAAACGCCCAGATATTCGAGGAACTGCGTACTTGTTTCGCGTGTTCGTGTCGGAAGGCGACTCTTCATGCTTGTCCTTCCCCGATCCCGACGATGGCGAGGGGAGAAGTGCCATCAAATCGGCCACGGTCCCCGTCTCCTCGTGGAACTTGGTCACAGTCGCAACAACTTTCGCGCGAGCATCGGGAGGAAGCGCGTCAACATGGGCCCTCAGCTGGATGACACTGCGAATAAGAGGGCCGTATATGTCAGAGACAGCGGGTCCGTTCGAGGAAGGCAATGGCGTGTCCGCCGGACGCTCCGGTGTCACCGGCGCATCGGAGTCCTCGTAGTCAGTGTCGTACGGAGCCTTAGTGTCGTCTGTACATTCGAGGGGTGGCTTCCAAG